TTTGTTTTAATGCAGCACAATGTGGTTATATATTATCAGACTAATTATATCATAATATATGACAGTATTTCACACGATACTATAATGGATTCTACCACCTTTGGTTACATTATATTGTGCCATAGTGTGTTATGTTGTATCATTGTGGATCATTTATTCTATGTTATATGATGTAACTTCGTATTACATTGCACGATATGATACGACATCATATTAGAATATATTACATTCATCTATGGCATGATCTGACATGTTATTATGTCACACGATATTACACTACACTGTATTATATTATGATGGCTTGTACTAGATTTGAATATGTTGTATTATATTATATGATACCATCTTCTATTTACTATAGTACTCTATGTTATATTATGCCATATTCTGTATATTTTACAGGTACACTATATTGCCATAGCATCATAATGTCTGTGTTATAACATATCACATATATGCATGTGTATACATATGTATAGAGTTTGACATATATATATATATGTACAGATATAGATATATACGTACGCATACACAGACACATACACACCCTACACCCAAAAACCTGATCCCCATGCCCCAAGACCAAAGTCCGCTGTCCACCAGTTCTTCATAGTCTTATGTTCCCCAAGCAGTCTATCACAAGCTACTGGGGAGTTCTTGCGTTCAGTGCAAGCAGAAATGGTTTGGGTAGCCGCGCGGCGCGCCACGGAAAGAGTTTCCCGGGGTGGGGCTCCCGTTGTGGCGCTGAGCACATTTTGCGCTCGCGTTGTGTTCCTCACAGCGGGTCCGCCCTGTTACCGGAGAGCCGGACTCACTGTCAATAACAACACATCGTTTCTTAGCCTCAAACACCTTGAATCGCGGCAGTACCTGGAAGAACGGATTTTGGGCATGCTCCTGAATCGCCCCAGTGCTTGCGGAAAGCAGTTTGGTCGTGGGCCAGAACCCACCCGAAGCCACACCTTGGGAAAAAGCATATGGGGCATGGTCCTGAATCTAACAGTGCTTGCGGCGAAATTGGTGGCCGTGTCCTGGTGCTCTCTTGGCGCGTTGTGGTTTGCTGAATGTCGTGGTCGTGGTGGTCGTCGTGCCGGTCCTGGAGGTCCTAGTGGTCCTAGTGGTCGTCGTCGTCATTGATTTCATGGTTGTCGTAAGAGCACTGTCTGGGCATATATGCTGGCCTAGTGAATATATTGTCGTAATCAGGAACAAGGCCCCCCAAGGATCAGTTCAGTTGCTCTTGGGTAGGAAGGGAAGGCATGACCCCGTTTGCGACGGGAAGGAGGCTACATGGATTCTCTAAATTTTAAATTCCCTACCAACAAGTTTTAGGTTCCCGAAAAATGGTTCCTTTATGGGTTCCTGAAATCTGTAAAGGTGGCCTGTGACTTGTGACTGTAAGGCTAACATGCAAATCCTAAATCCTGGTTATCCCAATTTTAGGGCCAGCACTGGCCCATTTCGCAAGCCTGGTAATTGAACACCCTTTCAGCACTATAATAGGGGCCTAAAAACCATTCAACAACATGACACAGAACCCTGTCCCAATTAATGTGATGAAGCATCAAGAAGGCTTTATTGTAGATGTCCGCTCTTACCAGACAAAGTACGACAAGTATCCTGGAGCCTCTAACTGCTGGTGCAGGACATGGAGCAAACCCTGATAGGGACCTGAATAACTATTCCTCCTATTCCTTGGGACTCTTTAGCCTATGAAGAGTTCATAGTATACTCCTTCCCTCCCCCCGAAAGACTTATTTCAAATAATTAATGCCCCCCCCCATACTACTCCGCACTCTGGCCTCATCTCGTTAGAGTTGGCCTCAGCGCCGGGCCCTCCATCCTAAACCCCAAACGCTGGAGACTCGAGAGCCCGATGCCCCCGAAAGCCCTAAGCCCTGAATCCCCTAATAAGACCCGTAAGCCTTTAACTCAACCCCGAGACCACCGAAGCCTCTCTTTTAAACCCTAAACCCCTAAACCCCTAAGCCCTAAACCCCTAAATCCCAAGCACTAAGAGCCCTCAACCGTTCCCACTTTCCTGAACAGGAACCCGTAAGCTACGTACTTGCCGAGGCCGCACAGCCTCGCCCTCCCGCAGACCTGCGCTGCTTGCAATCTCCCTGGTTGCGGGGGGTGCCGGATTCAGGGTCCCCTTTGAGGTCCTTTTGATAAGGGCGCCGTACTATATATGCGGACCTAAAAAGGGCCGCCTCAATGATGAGAAAAGGGCTTGGGGTATATCATCGTCTAGATATATTAATATCTATATATATATATAGATACCTCTCTCTCTCTCTGTGTATCTGTCTCTCTCTCTCTCTCTCTCGCTCGCGCTCTCGCTCTCGCTGTCGCTCTCGCTCTCTCTCTCTCTCTCTCTCTCTCTTTCGTTTATTTATTTCTTAGAATATATCATGAGATTTTGTGAAGCCCGGAGCTCCCTGTACAGCCCTTTGAATCCACCGCAAAAACATGCAGCCTAAGACCCTCAAGCCTACACCCTAAGCCCAAAACGCTAAACCTTCAACCCCGAACCCCAAAGCCTACAGGGAAAAAAGCATGCAAGCTAAACCCTAAATCCTCCCAAGTTCCTTCGCCAGGTCCCCGCCGGCCTGCCGCCGCCCCCAAACATGGCGGGCCCGCCACAGAATCCGCCGCTACCACCTCAGCACCCTTTCTTGTCAGTTGTAGTAGAGTCTAGGGTTTTGGTAGAGAGCGGCATTTGTTGTTATAAGGATTATAATGACGACTGCTGCTGTGCTCCTGGCGCTGCCACTGCTATGGCCACTGCCACTGCTGCCCTGCTGCCGCAACTTCTGTTGCTGCTCCTAGGACGACGACGAATGCTCCTACTACTCCTACTTTCTACTTCTATTAATACTTCTCCTGCTGCTCTAAAGTGGCTACTGCTACTGCTACTGCTACTTACGACGACGACGCATTTCAACCCGAAGCCCCGACTCCACCCGCAGCCAGGAGTTTCAGGTTTGAGAGGTTTCTGGGTTGGTCCGCAACCTTCCCGTGATATTGAGGACCCCAAGAAAATGTTTTTGCCTGTAGTGTCAGACACCCCAAAACCCAATTCTAAGCATGAGGCCATTAAGGCTCAGTGCCAGAAGGTCATAAGGAACTGCGTCAGTCTCGCGAGGGAGCCTGGCGAGTTTAGGTTGCCAGGCCTTCGGGTTTAGGGTTTTTAGGGTTTTTAGGGTTGAGGGTTTTAGGATTTAGGGTTTTAGTAGTTTTAGTAATTTAGGGTCTGGGGTTTAGGGTTTAAGGGTTTAGAGTTTGGGGTTTAAAGTTTAGGGTTGGTTTGTGGTTTAGGATCAAGGGTCGGAACAATTAGCAGCGTCTCCTTCTAGCCCCTATGTCAGGTTAACGGACCCCCAAGCCCTGTCACTCTTCTGTGTATGAAGGCCCCTACATTAGAGCTTTGGGACCCAAAGCTTTCCTTTAGCAAGCCGTAGGCCTACGCAACTCTGCCATGAATCCCCAAAGCTCTGAACTTAAACCCTGAACCGTAAATCCTAAAGCGTTGAGTGGACCACAGGGCTCATGAACTTGAGTGCCCCAGCCCAAACCTCAGATTCAACGTTTCAACCTGCTAACTCGACGGCCTTAAGCCCAAAACCCAAAGCCTCAAACCAAAGCCCCGAACCCTGGGCCCTAACCCTGAACCCTAAAGCCCAAAAACCCAAAACTCTAAAACCCTAAACCCTAAACCCTAAACCCTAAAGCCCTAAAGCCCTAAAACCCTAAACCCCCTAAACCCTACACCCTACACCCTAAACCCCCTAAACTCTAAGCCTCTAGACTCTAGACCTCACCCTGAACCCCGAAACCCTGCACCCCTCAACCAGCAAAGCGATGAACTCCTGCCCCAGGCCGCCGCCTCCCGGGCAGCAGCGGATTGCACCTAAGGCCAAGGCTGGCAATCTTAGGGTTTTTGGGGTTTGGGTTTAGGGTTGAGGGCTTTAGGGCCTTTAGGGGTTTAGGGTTTAGGGTTTTTTAGGGGTTTAGGGATTTAGGGTTTAGGATTTAGGGGGTTTCAGGGGTTTACGGTGTAATTAGTGGGTAGTCATATAGGTTAAAGTATTGGGGCAGAGTACTGTGTGGGTTTCGGAGTTGCGTAGTCTATCCGCGTTGGCTATAGTTCAATCGACCAACCTTTCGGGGATTCATACTTTGAGAATTGCTGGGGCGTCAGGGATGAGACTGGCAGATTCCTGTTTGCCGAGTCGCCATTTGTGAGTTGAGTGGAACATTCGCAGTGGCTAAATGAAGCTCGAATCCTTGATCCTTCTTCGTGGATCACTGCTTGATGCCCTGAGTGCCCCCCGCCCTACCTCAAAACCCGGAGACCCTATACCTCTAAACCGTCATCCGACTGGCTCTCTTTCACAGAGGCAGAGGGCCCGCCTCCGCCGCAGCAGATCAGCCAGGTTCTTACAGGACTCGGACGAGGGGACCTGGCGTCAGGAGAGCACACCATTTCGAGTTAGTGCCACTGCTGTTGCTCTTGTTAGAGTTGTCATGCTCGCTGTGATTCTTGTTAGTTTATGTACTTTTGCTTTAGTGATCCTTAATCATTATGATCTCCGAATAGCATCGCGATCATTGCTATTGTGATTGTTATCGTACCTGCTACTGTTGCGATAAGTTGCGATGGTCAACTTTACTGTTATTTGCGATGGTTTTGATTATCATACTTACTACGGTAATTTGATTATGAATATGGTTATGGTTATGGTTATGATGATAAGCGTTGTTAGGGAGCCGCGATACTGGGGCTAGCTCAGGGGCTTTGAGGCTGGGAGGCTTCTCCTTGCCCCATTTTTGCCTCAAGGAGCTCAGCCGGCCTCCTTAATTCAGGGTTTAGGCGTTTAGGGTTTATAGTTTCAGGGTTTAGGGTTTAGGAGCCCTTTGGCGCGAGGCGACAAGTGCCAGGGTCGTTGCTGCCCCGGGGGGGGGTGGTGCGAATCGCGCCGTGAAACATGAGTGCCATGGGTGAAACGTGGTGGGCTTCGCTGCAACAGCTTTTCTCTTTTGCGAATCAGTCCCCACTTTGTCTGGATGGAGAATGTTCCTGTTTTGACTTGAAGATTGACAGAGCTTCGGCAGTTTTCTGTTCAGAGGATGTCTTGGTTCGAGCCACGATACTTCAGCATCTGCAGACGGTATTGGACTCAGGCGACGTTGTACCTGTTCAGGTTGATCATCCCTGCCGAAAGGCGGTGCTACGGCTGAGGTCAGCCGACTGGGCCACACTAGGTGCACATTGTGATTTCATTCGGGCCCTGTGGACGCAGGTCAGGGTTTCTGGGGAGGTAGTCATTCTGGACACCACAGTTGGTGCTGCTTTTCTGGCAGGGGATGTTTGTCTACGTGACGACACTACTTTGCAGATTGCTGAAATATTCTGTGGTGGTTTTGCAGGGTGGACACAGGCTGCATGGCAAGTGCATGCTACAGGCCACCCAGTCCGTGCTGCGTGGTTGTTGGACCTTGAGGATGCGGTCCAGGCCCCACTGGAGCATCTCATTCCGGATTTGTCCACGGTTGCTAGTGCAAGTGAACTGCAAGCATGTGCTGATCATACAAGCCCGCTGTTGCTACTTGCCAACTTTGAGCACACATGGTGGCATCGTGTCTGGGCCAGCATGCCGCCGGACATTGTCGCGGCATCCCCGCCTTGTCAGCCTTGGAGCTCGGCGGGCAGCCAGAGCGGCCTAAGTAGCCCCGATGGTCGGTTGATTCTTCTTCTGATTTCGGTCCTCCAGGTTGTTCGGATCCCGGTGGTTTGCCTTGAGGAGGTCCCGGGTTTCTGCCAGCACCAGGACTTCCCTGTCATCATGTCAGCTTGGGAGGCTTCAGGTTACACTTGTGTATATCGTGAGGAGGTGCAGCTTGCGGAGGTTGCGCCCACCTGGCGCAAACGGTGCCTTATGATTTTTGTGCACAAGGTGCGGTTGCCTGAGGCAACATCCGTCCTCACAGCGCAGCATTGGTGGCCTGTTGGTCGGCCCTCTTTGTTTGGGTTGCGCGCCTACTTCAAGGTGCTGCCTGCTGACATCCTTCGTCATTGTGTCATTGCTGAAGACGTGCTTCAACAGTACCTTGATCCGTGGTTCTTGCCGCCGGGTGTGCCGCATTGCGGTGAAGCTGCCCGCAAGTTCCGGCTGTGCACGCCGTCCCAGCAGGCGCGCACCTTCATGGCTGCCTATCACCGGCAGCACTTGCTGCCCCCGGGCATGTTGGAAAAGCGCGGGCTCCTTTGCAGTTTGCTGCAGGTCAATGACACCATCCGATACTTTGCTGCCCCAGAGATTGCCTCCTGTCACGGAGCCCAACGCCAGCACCTCTTTGTTAAGGATGATGCCATGTGCATGCAAATTCTTGGTAATGGCCTCGCGGTGCATCAGGCTGCCCTAGCCTTGGCCCATGCGGTGAAATGCTTTCCTGGCTACGCTGACGTGAGCCCAGCGGCAGTTGTCCAGAAGGTTGTGGCTGAGCGCCTGACCTCTGTCAACTCCGCCCTTTTCCGCCTGCCGACAGGGTGGTTGCTGGTGCGTTTCGACTTGGTAGGTGTCGCCCTTGCTTCGGATAGCCTGCGTCACAGGATCGAGGCCCGGATGTGCAGTCGTGGCCAAGTTTTCCATGCACTTCAGCTCGGCGAGGGTGCAAACGCCAGGGACTTTCAGGTTGTGCAGGTCCTCCGGTTTTCGTCGCACCTGACGGTGCGTGACGCCTGTCAGGCACTTGAGCTGCCCTCTGGCGTCCCGCCTTCTGTCGTTGAGGGTTCCCAAGGCAGGGTTTTTCGGGTTACCGTTGCTGAGCTGCCTCGTGCCGACTTTCATGTTGGGCATAACCACCAGCAGCGTTGCGGATGTGTGCACCGGGTATACACGGCTGCTGGTCAGTTCCTGCTCCAGCCGAGCGTGCCAGACTTCTTTCATCAGCTGAAGTTTGTGTTTGACCAGGTGAGGGCGGAGGACTCACCCCGTGTCGTCTGCCTTTCGTGTTTTGGGGAGCCAATCAGAGATGCAGCTGACTTGCCGCGACATTTCTTTGTTGCTACCTATGCGGACCACATACACTGCCACCGCCCTGCCCTCACGCCTGCCCAGGTTGAGGCCTGCCGTGTCTGCACTAAGGATGACGGCCTGCTGCTGTGCATCGACCCCGAATGTGCTTTTGAGTGGGCTATGCAGGCCCCTTTCTCCGACCTTCTACTTGGAGGCCCAGCCATGTGCTGAAGGTGCTTGTGCAGCCATTGAAACAATCAGGCAGTACCTGCGGGACCTGCTCTTCCTGGCCCAGTTTGTTGATGCAACGCCTGCCCAGGTTGGCCCCTTTGTGCTGCAGGTTGGCACACGCACTCTTCGAGTTGCAAAACTGCCGGCTGACCTGACGCCGCGCCTTCTTGAAGCAGCCTGGCGACGTGCCAGTGCAGCCACAGGTTGTTGGCCAGGTGCTCAGGCCTTTTCTGGCCCCCGTCGACTCCCTTTTGAGGCTACGTTGATTTCGCTCACTGCCCAGGGTGCCTTCCACAAGCAGGCCTCTGCAGACCTCCCGGTCATCACCATCCACCCGGAGTGCCGCGGTGGTGGCGTGAAGGATGAAAACCTGCAACTTGCAAAAACCAAGCTCGGTACACTCTTGATTGAGCGAGGGGTGACATTGTCGCAAGCCAATGTTGCGGTCGATTCTTTTGTTGCTGCGGTCGGCGCTACTGCGAGCTTGGCGTCGCTGTCCTTGCCAAACCCGGTGGATCGGTGGCAGAAGCTGTGTGCCCAGGCGCGGTCGGTCGGCCAAACGGAGCGTGCTGCCCAGCGCATTCAAAAGGCCGTCCGTCGACGCCGCTTGAGCAGCTCCAAACCTGTTGTTGCTGCTGATTTCCAGCTCATTGAGGGCACCTGGTGTGGCATTGATGACAGCCCGGTGCCAGTGCTTGACACCATCACTTCGGAGAGCTCAGGGGTCATTCTGATGGACCCAGGCCAGGCAAACCCCCAGGACATCGGTCTGTTGTGTAACCTCGGGGCGGAGGCCTTGTGTGTTGTCGTGCCAGGGTTTGATTGCCCGGACCCTGAAACCTGTAGTGGCCGGGCCAGCACGCCTGTCTTGCGTCGGGCTACCGGGGGCAAACACTTGATTGCCGTGTGCTACCACAACCTCGGCGACACCGCCATCTCCCCCTTTGTTCAGCATGGTTCTCAGGTTGAGATTTCAGGGGTGGTTTGTTGCACCTTTTGCATGCACCGGGACGAGTGTCCGTCCACTGAGATGTGGCATGAAACGGTTCAGGCTCCCGTGCGCTCTGTCGCCCAGCTCTTTAAGGCCAAGGGTGTCCAAAGCCCGTTCTCCCACCCATGGGGCCGATCCTACCGGTCTGCTGGACGCCCCAGCCAAGCGCTGCACTGTGATGTCTTTCAGTTTCAGGCCAAGGTTGAGGAGGATGTGCTCGCACCACTGCTTAAGCAAAGTGGCTTTAACAGGGTCTACGTGACGCCCCGTGGCTGGAACCGTGAAGTCCTTCAAGGATGGTCTGTCATCTGGTTGTCCTCTAGTAAACACGACCTGGAGCGCCAGGCGGCCCTGTTACCCGAGCAGCATGGATTGGTGCGAGGCAAGAGCCGATTCGGCATCCGAGTGCCCACTTCTTCTTTCGCACGGCTGTTTCAGCAGTTGCGCCCAGGTGATGCCGTCCCTGAGTCTTTTGATGTCAAAGCCCTCTTCAAAGTCGGCCCCATCCCGCCAGGGGCCACCGCTGATACGGTCCTTCAGTGGGCTCGAAAACTGCACTGGCAAATCCGCGTCATCAAAACCTTGGGCCCTTCCTTCTGGCTGGTGGGCTCGCCCGGAGCCCCTCCGTCGGAGACGCTTACTTTCAACCAGCAGCCGGTCTTGGTGTCCCCTGTCAAGGGCCGTGAGGTGCATCAGGCAGTCGTGCAGGCTGGTGGCCCGCTCCCGTCACGTCGGCAAGGGGCTACCACTCCAGTTGACCCGTGGCTGAGCTCTGACCCGTGGAGTGCCTACCTTGCTGCCAAGACGGACGGCCAACACCCGCCAGGACCGTCTATGCCCGTTGCCCCGCTACCACCGAGCCGCACTGTTGATCCACAGGTGCAGTCGCAGCTACATGCTCAGGAGCACCGGCTGAATGAATTAGAGCAGCACTTGCGTGGCCTCCGTGAGGGCCAGGTTGCTGCCGATCATGAGCGAGCTGCTGACAAGCAGCAGTTGCAGCAGGAGATTGCAGGTGTTCGAGGTGAGGTCCAATGCTTGGGTGCTGGCCTGCAGCAACAGTTGCAGGCCCAACTTGATAGCCTTGGGGCTGCCCAGAGAAGCCAGGAGCAACAGATGAATGCCGGCCTTAATGATCTCAAGCAGCTCATCCTGTCCCAGACAGACCAGCGCAAAGCTCGGCGGCTCCCTGGGGCTGAGAGCGAACTGTGACTTCACTGGGGTCCTTTCCGTGGGAGGGCTTACAGTGTTTGCTTGTCACTGTGCAGTCCGTGGGGCTCATGTGGACAGCCTTTTGCTGTCGTGTGTGTGCACCTGCCCGGCCGACAGCTGGGGCAGTTTTCGTGCAAATCTTCGCATTTTGATTTTGTTCCCCGGCAGGCTCCGTCTCGCCGCGCCCGGCCTCCCTGCAATAGTCACGGCTGGCAGATTTGCCCTTCCTTTTGTAGTCTTGCGCCGCAGAGCGTACGCCTGGGTTTGCCAGTGGATTGTGTTGCAGCAGAGCGTCCCGAAGAGGTGCTCTCTCGTGGCAGATTCGTTGCCCCTGTGCCACGCCCCACTGTATGGCTTGTTCCGTCGCCTGCTTGGCGCCCTCTGCTGGGTTGTGGCCACCGCTGGGGCGAGGCCCTTCATCCCGGCCCGTCGTCCCAGACATCTTTGCATTGTTACTTTGCGTCTAACCGGCCGCGGGAGCCCCGTCTTCCTGCCGGGCCTCCTGCCACTGCTGCCCCGTCTTCTGATAAGACGTCTTGTGTCATTGCCGTCGTCAATCCGACGAGCGTGCTTCATAAAGTTCCCCTCCTTCTCCGTACTGAGGCCAATGTCATTGCTATGTCTGAAACTTCTGCGGTCGCTGCTGTCCAGCAAATGACCCAAAAGCACTTCACCCGCCACTCTTTCAAGGTCCACTGGGGACAGGCCGTCCCGTCCCACTCTCGTGAAGATGCTGCGCACCCTACTTTGCGCGGCCTTGCTGCGGGCGTGGCCCTAGCCAGTCGCCTCCCCAGTCATAGGTCGTGCCCACCTTTGCCAGAGGCGGCCGCCTCAACATGCCGCCTGTCTGAATGTTTTGTGCGCCTCGGTGCACTCCAGGTGCGGATGCTGACCATTTATGGGTATCCGCTCTCCCATTTGGATGCGCGCCAGCGCAATGAGGACTTGCTGGCGCAAGCTGCGGACCGGGCCACACAGAATGCGCTTCCGTGCATCATTGCTGGTGATTTCAACATGCCACCGCACGACCTCCCTGCGGGCCAGGCATTGGCCTCGCTTGGCTACAAGGAAGTGTTTGAGCTGCATCAACATGTCCATGGCGAGGTTTTACCTCCCACGTGCAAGGGCGCCACACGCCATGATACAGCCTTGCTTCATCCTGCGCTGGTGCCCCTGTTCCTGCGTGCTTGGGTCCTTCGAGGCCAGCAGTTGTTTGATGCCCATGACCCTCTGTGTTTTCAGCTGCGGATGTGTGAAAACCGGCCCTGTCGCCAGACTTGGCGTTTGCCGAAACCGTGGGCCGCATTGGGTCCTGACCGTGCTGCCTTTGCCGATGCTTTCCGCCCTGCTGCGGCCCGGTTAAAGCGTCAGGCCGACGCCTGTGCCTCTGTCCAGGATGTTGAGGCGGCCCTGTTGTCCTTTTCCAAGGCAGCGGAGGATGCCGTTCAGCTGACGCTGGTGGCTCAAAACAAAGCCGACCCCCTCAAGGCGCCTCACACAACGCTGCCCCGTTCATACCGCGGTCGGTGTGTTCACCGCAAGCCTTTACAGCGTGAACTTCCGTGTCTACTGAAACCAGCACGGTCCGGCGGTTATCAACCTGACGTGGAAGTCACTTCTGTCTTGGGCAGAATGAAGGTGCGCCAGGTACGGCGGGTTCGCACTTTGCAGCAAGGCTTGTTGAAACTTGGACGGCTTCCTGCCTATAACCGTGCCCCTTTGCGACAGCAGCTCCAGTTGGAATGGAGGGCCATCCTGCGTGCCCGAGGTTACCCGCCCACCTTCTCGGTCTGGCTGTTGAGGGTGGCTTGCTTCCACAGTGTGCCAGGTGACCTGCCATCACCTGAATGGTTGCATCAGCTTGCTCAATACCTGCAGCATGATTGTGATGCCTTGGTCCGGCAACAGGCCCAGGTCCGCAAGGATGTGTTCAAGTACCGGCTGCAGGTTGATGCGGCGGACGGGCACTCTAAGTCGGGTTTCCGGGCCTTGCGACCAGAGTCCCCTCCCCCTTTCACCGAGGTCCCGCATTGCATTGTTGAAAAGGCAACCGCCCACTGGGATGCTGCTGCTGGGTGTTATGAGCTACGAGTTGAGGCACGCCGCCCTTTCCGTGTCCCTGGCCCAGCTGTCTTTGCTGGTGTTGAGTGTTCCCTTCTGTCCTGTACACAAGGCGGCCTTTTGGTCTCAGCGGCTTCACTGCCGACTACTGGCGAGCTCCATCAGAGTTTGGTTGCCTGCACGGCTGCAGAGTTGCATGATGCGTTTCGATGCTTTTGGTGCCCCATCTGGCAACGCGACTCTGGGCCCCAAGCCCGTCTTCTGGCTGAGTGGCCCTCTTTCCGTGCTCTCCTTGCCCAGCAGTCTCCAAGGGACGAGCTCCGCATCCGCTCCTGCGCCCCTGACCTCTGGATGCGAGCTATTAAGCGTATGAAGTCATCCACCTCCACGGGGGTCTGCGGCTGGAGTAGTACTGATTTGAAGCTCCTCTCTGTCGAGGCGGTTGAAGTCTTGGCCCACATATTTCACCAGGCCGTGACGTGTGGTTTACCTGATCACATCCTCCGTGCCCGGATCTGTGTTTTGGCCAAAGTCCTTGCTCCTGAGACCATGGGTCAAAGCCGCCCCATCACGGTCTTCTCCACCCTGTACCGCCTATGGAGTTCGGTCATGGCCCGCCAGGTCCTTGCTGAATGGGCCCCGACTTTCCCGCCAGCTGTTGCTGGGTCCATGCCTGGTGTTGCCTGCAGAGATGTCAGTTACCGACTGCAGCACCGAGTCGAGGTGTCATTGTTGGGAGGCCCGGGACTGCTAGGATGTTCCATTGACCTGATCAAAGCCTTCAACCAGCTCCCTTGGGTGCCACTGGCTTCCATGCTAGTGTGGCTGGGCGTCCCGGAGGAGATTGTCCGCTTCTGGATAGACTGCTTGCGTCGGCACTGCCGCCATACGGTCTTCTTGGGCCATCTGTCGGATGCAATACCGTGTGCCAACGGTGCCCCCGAGGGTGATCCTTTCAGTGTGGTTGCTATGGCTGCGGTTTGCTTTTGGTGCCATCGATTGCAGGAGTCTACAGGGGTGATTTTCGAGACCTATGTGGACAACTGGTCCTGGACTAGCACCTCCGGTGCAAACATCACCGCCGCTGTGCCCCTCGCGCTCCAATTCTTGCAGAGCCTCTCCCTGCCCATTGATGGCAAGAAGTCGTATGCGTGGGCCACACATCGGGCCGGCCGGGTATGGTGGAAACGTGCATTGCCACAGCTTTTTCCAGGGTTGCCGGTGCAGCTGGTTCATGAAGCTCGTGATTTGGGCATCGCTTTCAAATTTGATGCCCGACCGCATGCGGTTTCGCGACGCCACCGGTTACAGGCTGGCCTGGATTCCATTGATCGCTTGCGTCAGCAGCCGCGCCCCGTCCAGGAAAAGGCGGTCTTACTCCAGCGCAGTGTCTGGCCTCGATGCTTGTATGGGGCTGAGGGCCACCTTTTTACGGCCACCGAGCTTCAGTTGCTAAGGGGTAGGGCGGCTCGTGCCCTGATTGGGCAGCATAAGGTGCTGAGCCCACTGTTGGCCCTCAGTGCAGTGACTTTGTCGGTCATGGACCCGCAGCCTTACTGCTTGCTCCGTCAGCTTTGTGCGCTGCGCCGCGTGTGTGCGGCTGATGCTCAACTTGCTGCATCGGTCCTGAGCCTTGCGTGCACTGAGACTCCCCCGCGTTCCAGCCAGGGCCCTGCCACTGCCTTGCGTTTGTCCCTCGACCGGATTGGTCTCTCGATCTCCCTCCAGGGACTCCTGAAGGGCCCTGATAACCAATGGGTGTACATCAAGTCGTGCCGACCTTCCCAACTTGCTCACATGGTCCGCACCGCCTGGTCGTACTATGTGCAGCGCCACACGGATCACAGAAATGGGCTGGATCGGGCCGCACCGTGCCACCCGGCCACCACATCTTCCCTGTTCGCCAAGCTGCAGCCCGCGGAGCAGTTGATCATCTCCCGCCACATTGTCGGTGCGTTCTCATCGGCTGCTGCCAAGAGCAAGTGGGGGAATGATTTGGATGACAGGTGCCCTTTGTGTGGTGCTAAGCAAACAAAGCTGCACAAGTTTTTCCATTGCCCCAAACTGGAGCATGTCCGTGCTGAGTGGCGCTTGTGCCTTGAGGAGGTTCACAGCACATGGCCCCACTGGGTGCATGGGCCTTTTGCAACACTGCCTCCTGGTACTGAGGTCCTACACCTCATCCACCAAACCAGGCACCTCCCACCAACAGCAGTCTACCCTGAGGTTCAGGCATTGCTGCAGCGCCGGCCTTTCCTGCGACTGTTCACTGACGGTTCATGTGTGTTCCCTGACTGTCCGGACTTCCGGCGCGCAGCCTTTGCGGTGGTCCTGGATGCCTCGTCCATGGACGAGGAAATTCCGCAGATCTTGCAGGAGTGGCGCACCAGTGGCCGGTTGCCTCCGCAACTACATGTGCTGACCCAAGGCCTGGTGCCCGGTGCGCAGACCATCAATCGGGCGGAAATCTGTGCTATCATCATGGCCGCCAGGTTTGCTCGGTCGATACCTAACAGCGCCGCTGCCATTCACACGGACAGCGAGGTTGCAATGGCCGCCTGGGACTGCGTCGCCCAAGGGCGGCCCGGCCCCTGGCCGGACTTGGATGCCTATTTGCAGGAGGTTTTTGACACCAACATCTCCTTGTATAAAGTGAAGGCCCATGATCCTCTTCACCGCCTTTGTGGGATGCCCCAGTGGTTTGCGGTGGGCAATCAGGTTGTGGATGCTGCGGCCAAGTTGGCGCTGACAAAGGAGCTAGATCTGGTCCAGCAGCTGTCTGCTGACGGTCACCAAAGCCTACGCGAGCAACGTGATCTGCTGTGGCTCTTCTGGAGGTATTTGCTTCAGCTGTCCTGTGAAGAGGTACGCTTGATGGAACTGTGCAAAGGACAGCTTCCTCTTGCCCTTCCTGAGGAGGCGCCGTGCGCAGCCCCATC